TTCTGAGTCACTGCAACACAGGAGGACACAGAGGACGGACATGTCAGAGGACTGGGTGACCCAGGTAATATTCTGGGGACCTGGGTTCAAATCCCGTCGTGGCAGATGGATTTTAAATTCAAAAAATCTGGGATAAAGAGTCTAATGATGACCATGCATCCACTGTTGATTGTTGGAAAAAACCCATCTGGTTCACTCATAACCTTTAGGGAAGGCAACTGCTGCCCTTACCTGGTCTGGCCTATATGTGACTCCAGACCCAGAATAATTTTGTTGATTCTTAACTGCCCTTTAGGTAATTAGGGATGGGCAATAAATGCTGGCCTAGCCAGCGATGCCCTCATTTCATGAATGAATTTTTTAAAAATTCCACCTTTGAGGATGTTCTGCACTCTTATCTGAAGGTTTTTGTACAGCATAGAATGCAAGCATTACCTTGCTAATCTCATCACTCATGTTGGGCTAAATGTAGATCTACCTAGCTCAATTCAGCACAATGTTTTCTTCCTCTTGCTCAATGGATGAGAGAAAAAATAAATTTACTCTTTTATTTTCAGTAGGAATAGGTGATTTTTTTGGATGACGTTGATACATACCATTCTTAAACTGTACACATCGGTCCATCCATTTGTCGGTCCAGAAGTAGATAAGCAAGCAAAATAAGAAATAGAAGCACAAGTTGGCTGTTCGACCCCTTCAGCATGCTCTGTCATTCAACAAGGTCATGGCTGCCCTGATTTTGTATCAGCTCCAGTTTCCTGCTACACCCCCATATCTCAACTGTTTTGTCATCAGCCATATGCCTATCTAGGTCTTGAATATGTGCAATGACCCAGCTTTCCAGCTTGCTGAGGAAGAGAACTCCAAACACTAAATGACCCCTGAAGAAGAAATTCCTTCTCGTTTCAGTCCCAAATGAGAGCCCTCCTATGTCTAAATTGTCTCTCACGCTGTTCGCCCCCGCCACCACCCTTCAAAAATGCCAGCCCTCTTCTGTGATAAATAATGTGAATATCAAATATGTCTTTAAAAGTTGTGAAAGGGACTTTGCATAGATTTTTTTTATTCTTAAAATGGTGTTTTAATTCACAACAGCCCAGCGTAGTGGCATTTGCTCTGCTGAAACCTATCTGACAAATTTTGAGTAAGGTCTTGCACCTTCGATTTAATGAATGCCTGCCATTATTCGTTTTATACTTTGGAATTTTTCTGTTTCCTTCATGTGTCTGAAGACTTCGAAACACAGTCAGAAATAGGTGAACCATTTTGTTGTCTGTATTCATTCTAGTTCATGTAATGGAACTATGTTTCTCCTCAACCCTATGATACTGCATGATGCCATTAAAATTCCTCTATTTTCACCTTGCTTAGGTATTGTTGTAGATGGAAGCAGCTTGTGATTGAAGGTCTATAATCTGTTCTTGCTATTTGGGAGCTTGAGTGTAGAGGTAAATTGTTTTTGGTTTTTAGTTCTGCGAAGGTGACTTATGTTTTATGAAGGTCACTTATGTTTTATGAAGGTCAGACACTTATTGTAGCAATGGTCAGAACAGCATTTCCAAGAAATCATCTGACTTCAATGACTGGATAAGCTACCTGGTGAGATAATTGCAGAAATATTTACTGAAGTCCATGGAGGCATTGATCAGTCAGGAGGGGATCTTGGATTCATGGTGAGTTTGCCAATTGGATACGAAACTGGCTTTATGGTAGGAGACAGAGGTTGGTGGTGAAGGGTGGTTTTTCAGACTGGAGGCCTGTGACCAGTGGTGTTCCACAGGGATCGGTACTGGGTTCACTTTTGTTTGTCATTTATATAAATGATTTGGATAGAGCATAGGAGGCATGGTTAGTAAGTCTGTAGATGACACCAAAATTGGTGGCATAGTGGACATTGAAGAAGGTTATCTAAGATTACAAAGGGATCTTGATCAGTTGGGTTAATGGACTGAGAGGCAGATGGAATTTAATTTGGGGTAAATGCAAGGTATCGCATTTTGGTATAACACTCGAGGGCAGGACTTGTACAATTAATGGTAGGGCCCTGCGTATTGTTGTAGATCAGAAACTTAGGGGTTCAGGTGCATAATTCTTTCAAGTTTGCATCATAGGTAGACAGAGGGGTTAAGAAGACATTTATCACACTTACCTTCATTGCTCAGATCTTTGAGTATAGGAGTTGGGATGTTATGTTGAGGTTGTACAGGATGTTGGTGAACCCTCTTCTGGAGCACTGTGTCCAGTTCTGGTTGATCTGTTATAGGAAGGATATGATTAACCTGGAGAGGGTTCAGAAAAGATTTACCAGAATATTGCTGAGAATGGAGGGTTTGAGTTATATAAATAGGCTGGTTAGGCTAGGACTTCTTTCACTGAAGCATAGGAGGTTGAGGGATGATCTTCATAGAGGGTTATAAAATCATGAGGGGCATAGAGAAGATGAATAGCAAAGGTCTTTTCTGTAGGGTGGGGGAGTTCAAAACTAGGGGGCATATTTTCAAGGTGAAAGAAAAAAGATTTAAAAAAGGACATGAGGGGCAACTGTTTTACTCAGAGTTGTTAGTATGTGGAATGAACTGCCTGAGGAAGTGATGGATGCCGGTAGTTACAACATTTAAAAGACATTTGGTTTAGTGCATGAATAGGATAGGTTTCGAGAGTTATGGGCCAAATGCAAACAGGTGGGACTAGCATAGTTTGGGAGCATGATCGCATGGACTAGTTGGACCAAAAGGCCTGTTTCCTTGCTTTGTGATTCTCGTTTAATATCTATGATCGACCATGACAGATGGAGAGAGACCACAAACAAATCCAGTTAAGAGAGAAAGATCGATACCAGTAGAAGACAGTATCCAGCCCATCAGAGCTGGAAAGAAGTCTAATGCTTTGCTGTTTTAGCTGTCCAAGTAGATGAGACTGAGAAAAGCCCTGAGTTTTTTATTCTTGGAGTTCAGTGAGTTAGCTTGTGTCTGTATGTCTCAAGAGACAGAGTAACAGGGCAAATTACATCTGGTGAGTATACTGAAATTCACCAAAAGGAAATCATAGCAAACTCATCAGTTGAATAAGAAATTAAAGGATGAAGATAGATATGATACTTCACCAGGGTTGAGTGTCTGTCTGGAAAGGATATTGCTGGGAAAAATAATTGAATGTTTCTTTCTGATGTTTACGACAAGATTTTTCCCAGTTGTCAGAACATTTTTTTTCTGGGGTAATATTCAGTGTAAAATATGCTTTGTTTTCTTTTGTTAAAAATACATTGGCAGCCTCTCGTGAATTTGTTCAATGACTGACCATTATGGTAACCAAATTGCAAACAAAACACTGATTTATCAAGCTAGTTTCACTCTGGATTACCATCAACTGGGATTATAACCGACTGTAATCTGTTGGTGGGGGTGGGGGGGAATGGAATTGTACCTTCAAATGGCATTCCATTCAGCCTTGGAAGAGGTAGCTTCTGGGTTGTTCTTGGCACACTGTCTATTTAGTTCCACACCTACCCTCCTTGCCTACAGCACATATCAAAACTTGGTATGGTAGTGTCTAGCTGCAGTTTGCTTCCCCTCAGCACAGCCCTATAAGAAATTTCAATGCTTAAAGAGGGAGATAGCTGTACAAGGGAAAATAAATTGGCAGCTCCAAGCTAAACTCTACACCCAACGATCCCATGATCTTGCATAATGATTAGTAATGTTTAAAAAACTTCTTTTGCAAAATGTTCACATTAACTAGCATTCTCTGTACTTTGCATTGCTGTAAAGTAACTTTTCTATGTATTTGTCCAATGCCTGCGCTGTAACTTGATTTTCTAGTGCAGACGACAGGATTATTATTTCAAAGATCACGACCTTAATCTTAAGGGCCAGTGTGTTCCCTCATTATCCTGAAGACGACTATACAACGTGTTCTATTCAAACTTAAAGCTGTAGATTTAGATTTTACATTAAGATATGCACATTTAATTTTTCTATTAGAAACGTGTCTGTATTCTGCTCTTCTGTGATGCAGAAGATGTATCATAGGCCACATGAAAAAAACATAGCACCCATCAAAAATCTGAGTCACATGAGCAGTACTTTTTTTTAATCAGTGAAATAGAAAACGTTTTCCCCAAGACAACTTATTTCTTGGAAGTTATAAGGCTATAAAAACAAAAGAAAGCTGCTCACTTGTTTTCAGTATTGGCCCATTTTAAAAGTTTAATTTAACATTTAACATAAGGCTTTCCTGTAAGTAGTTAAACCAAAAAAAAAGGAGCTGTTATTGGACATTTGCTGTGGTGAGTTGCATTCTCCACTTTAATGGAGCTTCACTCACCACTCAGAATAATTTGCTGAATATTTTTACTGAGGCGAATATATGTACAAAACAGCTTGACTAGATGTCAAAGATTCTGAGAAGTACCAGCAGTACCTGAAAGCTATCCAGGCATGACTGCTGATGTGGTCAGTAGTAACCGGTGATCTGGCCAGCAAGGAAAGGCCCTCACACCAGAGTTTGAAGCTCAAACAGTGCACCAGAAGGACTTAAAAAGGAGCTGCCGCCTTTAGCCAAGCTCAGCATTTAATTCACATGCTCCTCCAATATTGACAAATCTGCACCAATATTTCACAAACAATGGCGTTCTCATTGCATTGGAATCATTTGTAGAGAAACATACTTCAAAATAGTTTTATTTCTGGAAGCTTTCAGTAGTTCATATGATATTTTTCTTAATCTTTATGTCTACTTATTTTGATTCTTCTTACAAGATCTGTGTCACAGCAAAGAAAAAGTCCTTTTACAACATGCGTGAAATAATTATTAGATTTGAAAGAAAACAATTATCTTTAAAGTTGATTGAATTCAGTGCAGTCCATTTAAATGTGTTTTACTGATTGTGATAGCTTCTCTCACTGTTTTAACTGTCCCCATTGAAATGTTAGAATTTCATTGAGAATATACATAAATGAAATAGATAATAAACTTTTAATTCTGTAAATTTTCTGCAACAGATTCCACTGGAGTCATGTTTGACACTCGATTCAAAGCAGTGATGGCCCAGGGAGGATCTAATGACAACATAAAGGAAAAGGTAGCAATATTTCCTTTGTATATCCTATTGTATTTAGTGAACAAGTCAAAGTCAAGAAATTATGCTCTTTGGTTCAGTAATTTTAGAATTTCCAATTATAAGTTTAAAGTCTAAAAACATATTCATTACTTCAACATGTTATATTGGATTTCTTTGGCTAGAAATTTGTGCAATATTTTAAAATATGCAGTAGTCTTTCACAGTGAATATTTGTTGCTTTCAACTTGCCAGCTAAGGGTAATATGAACCTGAAGCTAGTCCATTAATAAGTTGGCTCATCGCATCGTTTGAGCCAATGTTACATTGAAAGAAATGTCAGTTATTTGGTGATTGACTGCAGTGCTTATTTTAAAAGGTCTATAATAGTTTACATCTGGCTATCTTAAAGAAACTAACGTGGATGAGCGCTTATTCTTTTCTCCCAAAGATGGGAGAAACTGGTACATCAGTCAGGAATTAATAGCGGTAGGTTTTGTGAAACATTGCTGTGTGCAAACCTAGCAATGCATCCTGATGCAACAACATGAAGATCTATGACTGTCTAACTTTACATCCTTGAGCAGGAGTTGTATGATACCCTGTCACATTTTCCTTTAGTGTCCAAAAGAAAAATGGTCCAAGTTGTCTTTAGTTGCTAATGTTGCAAGGTTCAAGAGAAAAGGTTTTTTGCGTATAAAGTATCCTACATATCCTGAAGATAATCAAAAGTACGTGCCAGTGTAAATGTGCCATATTATTACGGTAGTCATTTGCGCTTTAAAGCGGCAGCTTCCTAAAGAAGTGACTTTTTCTCAACCATGTCTTTTCTTGAGTACTTAAGCATTGCATGTAGCAACTGACAGTGGTTCTTTTCCTTTTGTCATTCCTTAACAATATCAGCTTTCCTCAGCATGAAAATAATCATGTGCAATTTGTTGAAACCCTTTGTTTAACTCTTAATGTTGGTGTAAAGACCTCCTGAATTCTCTAATAGATTTAAAAGCCAATTTACTGTCTCAGAAAAAAAGCTAAGGTTCTTTTGAATGGAACTAAGAGGTGATTCTCTGCTGGTTTTACCGCGTCCTTCCTACAGAGAATAGGGATTTAGTACCATTTTCTCATTATTTCTTAAAATTAATTGGAAAGATGGGAATGAGGAGAGGCAAGAAAAACTAAATGCTAGTTTTAAGAGGGATTCATGAACAGACTCCTCCCCTCTCCTTTTTCACCTATGTAAGTCATTTAAGGTAGTAGAACAAGATGATTATGCTGTTAAACGTGCGGGATCCTTGACTTTGCATATAAATAAGACTTGTAGGGGGATCTTGCATAAAGGGGCATAATGAACTGTGTATGTACATAAATCAAACTGGATTGATGAGTTCAATAATTTACTCGTTTGAATTAAATAGGTTCAGATCGGACTTCCTTTCATAAGTCGTTTTAACAACTTTCAAAAAGGATTGTTTTATTTCACTGCCTTTAAGCTCTGCTGATTTCCTTCTACTTTTCACTCAGAAATTAATTTCAAAACTAACTTTTACATAGATCTCAGTAAAGCGGGAGTGCATTCTTGCACCTATTCACATAATCCCCATCAGTATTTTCTTTTGTTTTAAGCGTTCATGACAGCAAAGATCCTTCATTGTTCAAAGTACAAGCTTCTCACCATGACTCATAGCACATTACAAAAATTCTTTAAGCACTCACTGCATGCCCGTGGAACAAAACCACTTTTTATACCAGAAAATGTAATACTGTTTCAGATACTAAGGACATTAAATTGCTGCAAACTAACTTTCTATTTCAGTGGTGAAATGCATTATTTCACATCCTCTCTCTCGCCCTCCCAAAAAAATTGTTTTATTCAAAGATTTCCAGACAGCCCAGTGAGTTTATAATTCTGCATTAACTCTGCTATTAGATTTTAAATTGATAATTTTGAAGCACATTTTCGTTACTTGTTTTCCTTTACCTGAAAATGTGACTGGGGGGACCTTTTTACTGATTATTAGAACTTTGTAATTGACCTGACTTTGTAATTTGAGCAAAGCAGTGGAAGCAAGAAGATTGTTTTTATTGCCAGGTTTATAGTATGGAACTCAGAATATCTGGGGATGAAATTCACCTTAGTCAGCAACACAGAACTGAATGTAAAAGAAAATCAGATGCTGTTTTATGAAACCGTAGTGCAGAGGGAAAATTTGTCCAAATATGTCTTGTCAAATTTTTTCTTTTATTCGCTCGTGGGATGTGGGCATCACAGGCTAGCCAGCATTTATTGCCCTCCCCTAGTTGTCTTTAAGAAGGTGGTGGTGATCAGCACTTTTGAACTGCTGCAGTCCATGTGCTGTAGGTCAAACAATGCTATTAGGGAGGGAATTCCAGGATTTTTACCCAGCAGTAGTAGAGGAATGTCAATATATTTCCAAGTCAGGATGGTGAATGGCTTGGAAGGGAGCTTGCACGTGGTGGTGTTCCCATGTATCTGCTCTCTTTGTCCTTCCTTGATGGAAGTGACTGTAGGTTTGAAAGTTGCTGTCTAAGGAGCTTTGATGAATTTCTGCAGTGCCCACTGCTGCTACTGAGCATCGGTGATGCAGGGAGTAGATGTTTATGGACGTGCTGCCAGTCAAGCTGTCTGCTTTGTCCTGGATGGTGTTAAGCTGCTTGAGTATTGTTGGAGCTACGCTCATACAGGCAAGTGGGAAATATTCCATCACACTCCTGACTTGTGCTTTGCAGATGGTGGCCAGGCTTTGGGGAGTCAGGAGGTGAGTTACTCGCTGCAGTATTCCTAGCTTCTGACCTGCTCTTGTAACTACTGTTTATGTGGTGAGTCCAGTTGAATTTCTGGTTAATGGTAACCCCCAGGATGTTGATAGTGGGGATTCAGTGACGATAACACCATTGAATGTCAAAGGGCATTGTCATAGCCTGGCATTTGTGTGGCGTGAACGTTACTTGTCAGCCCAAGTCTGGATGTTGTCCAAATCTTGTTGCATTTGAACATGGACTGCTTCAGTATCTGTGGGGTAAGTGCATTCTTGGTGGGCTGAAGGGCCTGTTCTTGTGCTGTACTGTTCTTTTCTCTTCGATCGCACAATGTTCAGCACCATTGAACATCGCCACTTCTGACCTTATGATGGAGGGAAGGTCGTTGATGAAGCAGCTGGAGATAGTTGGGCCTAGGACACAACCCTGAAGATCTCCTGCCGATTTGACCTGGAGCTGAGATGACTGACCTTCAACAACCACAAGCATCTTCCTATGTGCCAGGTATGATTCCAAGCAGCAGAGTGTTTGTCCAGTTTTGCTAGGGCTCCTTGATGCCACACTCTGTTGAATGTGGGCTTGATGTCAAGGGCTGTCACTCTCACCTCACCTCTGGAATACAGCTGTTTTGTCCATGTTTGAACCAAGGCTGTAGTGAGATCAGGAGCTGAGTGCCCCTGGCAGAACCCAAACTGGACGTCACTGAGCAGGTTATTAATGAGGCGATGCTGCTTCTTAGCACTGTTGATGACACCTTCCATCACTTTACTGATGATCGAGAGTAGACTGATGAGGCAGGAATTGGCCAGGTTGGATTTGTCCTGCTTTTTATGTACAGGACATGAGTGGGAAATTTTCCACATTGTTGGGTAGAAGCTAGTGTTGTAACTGCACTGGAAGAGCTTGGCTAGGGGAGCGGCAAATTCCGGAGCGTAAGTCTTCAGTATTATTGCCAGAATGTTGTCAGGGCCCATAACCCTTGTGTATCACGTGGTGTAAATCGAATTGGCTGAAGATGGGTATCTGTGATGCTGGGGACCACTGGAGGAGGCCGAGATGGAGCATTTCTGGCTGAAGATTGCTGCGAATGCTTCAGCCTTGTCTTCTGCACTGATGTGCTGGGTTCTTCCATCACTGAGGATGGGAATATTTGTGGAGCCTCCTCCTCCATTGAGTTGTTTAATCTGGAGGATCAGGGCTGAAAAGCATAGATCTGATGCGTTGGTTGTGCAATCGCTTAGCTCTGTCTATCACTTGCTGCTTATGCTGTTTGACATCAAGTCGTCCTGTTTGGTGGCTTCACTGGGTTGACATCTCATTTTCAGATATGCCTGTTGCTGCTCCTGGCATCCCTCCCTAAACTCTCCACTGAACTAGGGTTGATCCCCTGGCTTGATGGTAATCGTTGAGCAGGGGATAGGCCAGGCCATGAGTTTGCAGATTGTGCTGGAGTACAATTCTGCTGCTATTGATAGCCCACAGCCCAGTCTTGAGTTGCTGGATCGCTTCAAAGTCTATCCCATTTAGCACAGCGATCATGCAACACAACACAATGAAGGATATTCTCAATGTGAATACAGGACTTCGTCTCCACAAGGACTGTGCAGTAGGCACTCTTACTGATACTGTAAGGGACAGATGCATCTGCATCTGGCAGATTGATAAGGATGAGGTCAAGTATGTTTCTCCCTCTTAAAATCTTAGAATCTCTACAGTGTGGATGCAGGCAATTCAGCCCATCGAGTCCACACCGACCCTCCAAAAAGCATCCCACCCAGACTCACACCCCACCCTGTCCCTGTAACCCTGCATTTCCCATGGCTAATCCTCCTAGTTTGCACATCTCTGGACACTGTGAGCAATTTAGCACGGCCAATCCATCTAACCTGCACATCTTTGGACTGTGGGAGGAAGCTAGAGCACCCAGAGCAAATCCACACAGACACAGGGAGAACAGACTCCATATAGACAGTCACCAGAGGCTGGAATCGAACCCGGGTCCCTGGTGCAGTGAGGCAACAGTGCTAGCCACTGAGCCACCATGCTGCCCATTGTTGGTTCCCTCAACCACCTGCCACAGGTCCTGTCTAGCAGTTATTTCCTTTAGGATCTGACCAGCTTGATTTAGTAGTGCTATTGTCAAGCCACTCTTGATGGTGGACATTGAAATCCCCCACCCAGGGTATCTTTCATTTACTTGCCACTCTCAGTGCTTCCTCCAAGTGTTGTTCATCATGAAGGAGTACGGATTCATCAGCTGAGCGAGGATGGTATGTCAAAATTAGCTGGAGATTTCCTTACCCACGTTTAACCTGAAGCCATGAGACTTCATTGTATCTGGAGTCAATGTCGAGGACTCCCAGGATAACTCTCTTCCGACAGTATACTCTCTGCCGCCACCTCTGCGGAGTTTGTCCTGTCAGTGGGGCAGGACATTTCAAGACATGGATGGTAATTGCGGTGTCTGTGATATTGTCTGCAAAGTACATATGACTTTTGTATGACTATGTCAGGCTGTTGCTTGACTAGTCTGTGAGAAGAAGCCCCCAGATATTAGTCAGGAGGACTTTAAAGCATGAAAAGGGCTGTTTCTGCTGTTGTCTTTCTAGTGCCTGGGTCGATGTCCAGTGTTCCATCCAGTTTCATTTCTTCGTGGAGTCTTTGTCACCTTTGATACAACTGAGTGGCTTGCTCGGCCATTTTGGAGGGCATTTGAGAGTCACATCACATTGCTGTGAATCTGGAGTCACACGTAAGCCTGACCAGGCAAGGATGGCAGATTTCTTTCCAAGAAAGACATTAATGAACTAGATCAGTTTTTCTGACAATCGACAATGGTTTCATGACCATCATTAGATTCTTAGTTCCAAATTTTTGTTTTAACTGAATTCAAATTCCACCATTTGCCATGGTGGATTTTGAGACCAGGTCAGAATGTGAGTTCTGGATCAGTTGCCTTGCAACAATTCCACTAGGCCATTGCCCCCCTTGTTTCCAATTTCCATACTAGAACTAGACTTTATATGCTTTATGTAAATTGCTAATTGCAAAGTTCAGGGATATCATTGCAATTCAATAGAATTTTCAGCATATGATAGCCTTTTTCTCCTTTTTAGCTCTTCTATTTAGACTACTCAAAGTATAACTGTGTCTTAGATCATCTTTTGATATTACCTTTGATATTTGCACTTTTTTCTTTGCAGATTAGTGCTGTCCGTGCAATAGTTCCTAACAGAAGTAATAATGAGATAATTCTAGTGTTGCAACACTATGACAACTGTGTCGACAAAGCAGTACAGGCTTTTATGGAAGGTAAGACTTTTTGCTTTGTTTTATAACTTTTTATCCCCCTCATTCTTGACACTGTACATACAGCTAAATTCAACTAATTTGCAAATACATGTAGCAGCAATTTTCAAATAATGGCCTTTGAAATTAAGGGTACAGAGATCAGGAGCCTTTAGACCCATGGTCGAGAAAACCAACAATGCAAGCTCATGTGATGAGCAGTATGGTTAGCCTTTTCCATAAGAAACATGTTTACAACGATTCAGTAAGTCTGGCTCGATAATGCTACACAGTTTGCAATTTCTTTCTTAATTAAACTCTTGGTATAACTTTCATGTCTGTGTACTACATAAAATGTGCCCCATAAACCAACTTCTTGGACTGCATTACAAGTTTCAGTTGCTGGAGTGCTGTTTTATAATTCTGTCTCTCTTTTCTTTTCTGCTAGAAAACAACATTCTGAAATATGAACCAGACCATGGTTCAAGCAAATAAAGACCTACATTTTGTCAAGGCATTACCAGTTGCATTTTGAACAGTAGTCTTTCTTTTATCAATATCTTTATGATGGGGCATATGCAAAATTAAAATGGACTTTGTCCCACAGTATGCTGTTCTTAAACTTTGACTACACTCAAAATGAAGGGTACTTGATAGGTGTGTTTTCCATCAGACAATTCCTGGCCTCTTTTGAATTCAGCTACTTATTTGTTCCAACATTCCCTTGTAAACTGCACAAATTTGTCAATGTTCACATTCCAGTCGTTTTAAAAACAAAGTTTCCCATTGGATTTTCTCAATATATACTGAGTTCAGTGTTTCACAGCTACCAGTTATTGCAAGAATTTAGCTGATCCTCTGCACAAATCTTCACAGTAAAAGATTAACTGCTGTTGTGCTATTTCAGGATTCATCCACCAGAATATTTGCTGGTGGACTCCCAGACTGCTTTCTGAAGAGGAATTCCTATATGTTGTGTGTAACTTTTCATTTCTTCAGCCATTTCCAAAAAAGTACCTTGCCTCAGGCTTGAAATAGACCCAAGAAGAGAGATGAAAACATTGAATGTGGATCATAGTAATATGCAAAGTTTTATCTGAGCAATGTAGGCTATGGCGAGATTTATGGCAGAATCAAATGAGAAGTCCACTGAGGCCTATCTCAGTGTCAAGAACATCTTGCTCCATCTTTTAGTTATTTTAAATTGTTCAGATGTTCAGGTACACCTCTGGATCAGGTGGGGCTTGAACCTGGACCTTCTGGCTCAGAGATAGGGGCACGAGCACTGCACCACAAGAGCCCCTCACTCCACCTTTTCTGCTTTTGCCCAGCAGGCAAGTTTCTTGTTAGGCAGTGGCAAGTTGCCAATTAAGAGAGATTATTGCTTGTTAAATGCCTTGTTAATGGTCTAGTTCACCTCATTACTATTCAGTTTTCTATCTTGCCAAATGCAGGAAACAAGCTAAATGTCAAGAAAAATTGATGAGGAAGTTGGAGCAGGTACGTGGCAAATTTTGCTTACTGCTTGCTGCAAAGGTCTTAGTGTTGCATTGAACCAAGCAACAACTTAAGGCACCTTCCATGGGCATCAGCCACCTGTATCGTAAGCATTGGCATCCAGCATTTGCCAACCCCTCAAGACCATCGCGACACCTCTCATATACTTGCAAGCCACTCAGGAAGCACAGACTGGCAATCAGGCACATCAGCGACTAGGATTAAAAGGCTGCAGCAAGGACACAGCGTATGCACAGACAGGAATTGGACCAGGCTGCTTCTCAGAGCTGCTCACTTGCTCTGTTAGCACTCACTCATTCAATGCCTGCCTGCATATTCTCAGCATCTATGCCTTACCTGTTAACACATTTGTGCTGCGGCCAGAGCCCAATAGTGCTCAGTATTGCCATACTGATGTACTCTTTAATGTGCACACACATGCTTCTTGTCAGCAGGGATCTGTCCAGGACAGGGAGAACACCATGGTAAATGACACACCAAGACGTTAATCTGACACGTATAGTATGTGCATGCAGACCACATTTATTGAACCAAATGGTCATATTAGAAACTGGTGGGAGCTGGTCCTCAGTCCAGCCAAGGAGGAGGTCCTGTTTGTTAGGGGTCCTGATACCGTCAGTGACGGGCACAGTCCAGGGGCTTGGCCACGGTCAATCACCCAGGGCACGGTAGACTATGGGAGGGGGATCTTAATGATGGGTGAATTTAAAAAAGGCCAATTATGGCAAAAGGCAAACAATTATTTGTGCAGATTCCAAGGATACTGTGGGAGGCACGCACCATTGCTTCATCTGTCATGTAAGTTTAATGATGGTGTGTTCTAAACACAATAAAAGTTGAATGATGGATGTAGGTCTGGGATCACAAGGGCATCAGAGTATAGTCAGGACGGCATGTGCTGTGGCACCCTGTTGTGTTGTGCTCTGCAGGATTGGGGCAGGCAACAAGGTAATGTGATGGATGCTGAGAAATTGGGGGAATGAATACGTTCTTCCAAGGAAGAGGATGAGGCCATTGAGGAGGGGAAAGCTTTCCTCATCCATGACATAGCTCAGCTGCATTAGGCATTACAAGCCAGGTTGCAGTAGATGAGAGCTGGATAGAGCAGACCATTGTGGACTTGGACTTGTCATTAGTCACAATGACAATATTTGAATTGCACTGTGGGGTGAGCATCTGCCTTTGTTCGTTTTGTTTGTGCTCCCTTTTGCTGCTGTGAATAAAATAAAATCATGTTTGGAATTGTCCAATGGCTTGCCTGTATGCAATGTTCCCTTGCTGGTCAATGAGAATGCAGGTCTATACTGGGATCTGGGGACAGAGTACTGGTCATTTAGGGATGGTGTTCAAATGGGAGATGGCATTTTAAATTGTAAAATGAGTGGCATGGTGGTTAAAATGTGACTAGGATGAGAGAATGGGAGATGTATTTGAGTCAGTTTTGGCATTGCTGGCCATATGTCATGAATAACATGGCTTTGTGGGTGCTATGCCAACTCGTTGCTAGTGAGGGGCAAAGCTAGTAAAGACACCTGGGATGCCAGCCTTTTGGCAGATATCCAGTGAGTGGCGGCACGGTGTCTCAGTGATTTGAGCTGCTGCCTCACAGCACCAGGGACCCAGGTTCGATTCCACCCTCGATTAACTGTCTGTGTGGAGTTTGCACGTTCTCCCCGTGTTTCCTCTGGGTGCTCTGGTTTCCTCCTACAGTCCAGAGATGTGCAGGTTAGATGGATTGGCCATGCTAAATTGCCCATAGTGTCCAGGGGTGTGCAAGCTAGGTGGGTTAGCCATGGGAAATGCAAGGTTGGGGTGATCTGAGTGGGATGCTCTTTGGAGCCTTGTGTGGATTTGATGCACCAAATGGCCTGCTTCCACACTGTAGGGATTTGATGAGTGGTGAGTTATGTGGTAAAATGGACTAGAATTGGACATGTGTAGGTGGTTTACAAAGTGAATTTGGTAAGGTACAGTGGGAAAACTCACTAGAATTTGTGGCAAAAAGCCATGCCAAAAAAACTCAATTAAACATGCACTTAGCCAAAATATGTAAGATTTAACCTTTAATTTTCAAATTGAGTTTCATACAGTTTCTTTGAAATTAATCTTTCCTGCCCTAAAGAAGTCAATAAAGACCAGCGCTGACAGTCTGACTTTGCGATTCCAAGTTGCCATCATCATTAGACTTTTTTAATGTCTTCAGTGATAAGGTGACATATCAAAGATTATTGGGGGAGGAAAACAAAACTTAAGGAACTATGTTGTAGGAGATGGCATGTTGATGTGGATAGATGATTGACTAACTAACAGGAAATAGTAAACATAAATGGGTGATTTTCAGCTTGGTAAGATGGAGTAAAAACAAAAAACAAAGTTGCTGGAAAAGCTCAGCAGGTCTGGCAGCATCTGTGAAGGAGAAAACAGAGTTAATGTTTCGGGTCCGGTGACCCTTCCTGGTAAGATGGAGTGATTGATATGCTAATGTGATCATTGAAGCCTGAATATTTTATAATATGTATAAATGACTTGGATGAAGGGGCAGAGGTATGGTTGTTAAATTTGCTAAAGACAAATAAGAATAAAAGGTAAGTTGTGACAAGGAAATAAAGATTAATCAGAGGGATATAAATAGGTTAAGTGAGTGGGCAAAGATGTGGCAAATGGAGTATAGTGCCGGAAAATGTGAAATTATCCATTGGGATCTGGGTGTCCTAGTGTATGAATTCTTTCTTCCCTTGGATTTTAGAATGGGCGGCACAGTGGCTCAGTGGTTAGCACTGCTGCCTCACAGCGCCAGGGACCTGAGTTTGATTCCACTCTCAGGTGACTGTCTGTGTGGAGTTTGCACATTCTCCCCGTGTCTGCGTGGATTTCCTCCAGGCGCTCCGGTTTCCTCCCACAGTCCAAAAATGTGCAGGCTAGGTGGATTGGCCATGCTAAATTGCTCGTAGTGTTCAGGGATGTGTAGATTAGGTGGGTTAGAGGGGAGTGGTCTGGGTGGGAAGCTCTGAGGGTCAGTGTGGACTTGTTGGGCTTGTTTCCACACTGTAGCAATTCTATGATCTATGTTAAAAGTTTAGTATGCAGGTACAGTAAGTAATTAGGAAAGCTAACAGACTCTTAATTTTCATTACAAGGGAATGGAATACAAAACTAGGGAGGTTATGTTTCAGTTGTTCAAGGCATTAAAGTGACTGCATCTGGAATACCATGTACAGTATTAATCGCCTTTTTTAAAAAAGGGATGTAAACGAGTTGGAAACTGTTCAGAGAACGTTTACGAAGCTCCTACTTGGAGTGAATGAGTTGTCTTGTGAGGAAAAGTTGGGCAAGTTAGGCTTGTATCTGCTGGACTTTGAAGAGTAAGAGGCGACTTGATTGAAACGCAAGATCATGGGGTTTCTTGATAAAGGTGGATGTCGAAAGGAAATTTCCGTCGTGGGAGAATCTAGAACTAAGGATCGCTGTTTGAAAATGAGGCGTGGCCCGTTTAAGACCAGTGATATGGAGATTATTTTTCTAAGGGGAGTCATGAGTCTTTCTACATCTCTTCTTCAATAGATTCTTGAACAATGGAGTGAAAGGTTATCAGGGAGAGGCAGGAGTGTGGACTATTGAAATCAGCCATATTCTTAATGAATGGCAGAGCAGGCTCGAGGCTCTGAGTGGCCTACTCCTATTCGTAATTTGTGCGTTCATATACATGCTCATATTAAGTGGTAATAGTTGATTAAAGGTGTTATGAGTTCTAAATATTGTACAAATAAAATTTTTTGATGTTTTCTCATACCTTTACAGGAGCAGTATCAGTTTTCAGCTCAATATTGTTGACTATTTTGGCATTATCTCCATTTCCTGTACTCATCATCTTTGGTCCAATCACCGCTATTGAGGATAGTTTTGTGTTGTAGATCCATGCCTAATAGAAACTGGATCAAGGCTGCCCAAATGCAGATAAGATCCCTGCAGCCAACAGAGGAGACTTTTTACTGGATTTGAATCTAGTTACCCACAGTGAAAGATCTAACTCACCCTTTCTCCGTTCCCCAACCTTCTCTAAAGGTTATTATTCCAGCAAGTTGGAGATTTTAGTTACAGATTTAGCTAATTTAAAGAAATAGCAATAACATTTCAGCTTTCAAAAGAAAATAAACGTCACTATCTTTCTGGTACTCACTGTGAGTATTGCATTGTTTTATTTGGGTAAAATGCATTATGTAGCGCTGCATTATTTACAAATGCATGCTTATGAAGAATGTAAATCCTACTCGTTTATCTTTAATTTGCCAATCTTGTAAACGCTGATTTGTTGCAAAAAGCTGCTATCTGTCACAAGTGGAATGTCGACTCAACTTTAAAATTTCTGTCTGGATTTTATTGACATTTGGCAAGCATTGTGTGTCAGTCTCCGCAACATTTCGTATGTGTTTTCAATAATCTTTGCAATCTTTCTTCATCACCATTTTTTTTTTAATGAAGGTTATGCAACTGAGGTTCTCAAGGAATGGAGTGTCACAGGAAAGAAGAAGGTAAGGGTCATGCCACATTCAGGACAAAGGAGGCCATTCAGCTCTCAAGCTTACTCTGCCATTCAGTTAGATCATGAGAGCTCTGTAACTCAAGCCACTTGTTGTGAAACTTGAATCAGAGTCCATTCATTTATTGCCACACTCAGTTTCCTACCTACCTCCCAACAAATTTCCAATCATCTTTAGTCTCCCTAATTTGAAAATTCGTGAGCAATGGTTGAAACATTTAGATGGGCATTCAAGTAAAATGTTTACAAAGACCTTTTAGCTATTAGCGGAAGAAAATAAATTCAGTTAAAGTCATACCGTCCCTCAAAAGGATTGCGTGGGCCAGTGATGCCACCAACATTTCAGGATTGTGGACAACTTTGAGAAGAGTGACCAGTGACTTATGCAAAATCCCTGCAGAGCAAAATCCCGTCTTCATTCTGAAGACATCCTCCACTGTATTGTTACATTGCTGCTGTGCTAAAAGGGTAGATTCAAAACAGATTTAGCGACTTAAAACTGAGTATCCATGAGTCACAGGACCAGCAGATCAGATCAAAGCCCTGCAGTCCTCCCACATTCCATCTCGCTGATGGAGGAGGCCAGCCTGAGAGTGCAAAAGACAAAAAAGGCTTGTAGCCATCTTTAGCCAGAATTATGGAGATGAGGCACTTTTCTTCTTTTGAAAGTTGAGAGTCTTTGAAGCTCTCTTCCTGAAAAGGTGGTTGAAATGATTGCTCAGAATCTGGTATCCCATCACTAAGTTATCCTTTATTTACTTGTGCACAGTACACTAGCTGTGGCCAGCCAGTTTGGAGTCAGTCCATTCCATGAAGGAGATTCTAGGCTCTTGTTTATGTTGGTCAACCAGGGCTTTCCTGATTGGAGTTGTTAATCGGTGCCAATCAAGAACCTTATTGTCAACAAGGTCAACCTGGTTCCAATCACTACAGTGGCGGAAGTAGCGTCCTTAAATATTTTAAGGCAGAGGTATATAGATTCTCGCTAAGCAAAGCGATAAAAGGTTATCAGGGGTAAGTGAGAATACAACTTTGAGATTACATGGATTCACCATGATCTTATTGAATGGTGGAGCAGACTTGAAAGGCCAAAATGTCTACTCTTGCAACAAATTGTCTACTCTTGCAACAAATTGTATTTTCATATGTATCTGCATTGTCCTGCACGCTCCAGCATCATGAATGCCAGACTTCAGTTTGTTCTACGTGATATCAAGAAACAGCTGAAGGCATAGGATAAGATAAAGGCAATAGGCCCTGACAACATTCCAGCAAATGTTCCAATGACTTCTGCTCCAGAACTAACCATGTCCCTAATCAAGATGTTTTCAGTTGAGTTGCAACATCATCTACCCAAAAAAGTGGAATATTGCCCAGGTATGTCCTGTTCATAAAAAGCAGGACACATCCAATCCAGCCAATCACTGCACTATCAGTGTTCTCTCGATCATCAGCAAAGTGATGGAGGGTACCTTCAGGTGGCACTTCCTCAGCAATATTGTGCTCACCAGTGCACAGGTTGGATTCGACTGGTTTTTCTTTTGAAATCATTACAGCCTTGATCCAAATTTGGATAAAAGCACTAAATCTAGAGGTAGGTTGAGAGTGACTGCCCTTGATACCAAAGGAGCATTTAACTGAGTTTGGCATCAAGGAGCCCTAATAAAGTGGGAACCACAGGGAATCAAGGGGTTTGGGGAGTTCCCCACTGGTTGGAGTCAGACCTAGTACAAATGAAGATGCTTGTTGGAAACTATATATCTTGGCTCTGTGACATCTCTGCAGGAATTCTTCAGGTAGATGTTTTCTAATCAATCTGTTCAGAGATGTTATTGTGCACCTTTGGAGCAGGTGGGACTTGAATCTGGGCCTCTGGGCGCAGAGACAGGGACATTGCCACTGTGCCACAAGGGCCGTCTGGTTTCATGGGAGATATTTTCCTAATCAACCTGTTGAGAGATGATGTAACACACCTCTAGAGTGGTCTCCTAGCTCAGAGGTGGGGACACTACCACTGTGCCATGTGAACCTGGGTAGTTCCTTTCAATTTTTTTAAACCTATTTTTCTAATTAACCTGTTCAGAGGTGTTATTACACACACCTCTGGAGCAGGTGGGACTTGAGTCCAGGGATAGGGACACTGGCACTACACCTCAAGAGTCCTGGGTAGTTCCTTTGGATAATGTTCTAGGCCTAACTATGTTCAGCTGCTTCATCAATGACCTTTTCTCCATTATAAAGTCAGTAGTAGGGATGATTGCAGAGTATTCAGTTCCCTTTACAGTTCCTTAGATACTGAAGCACTCTGTGTCTAAGTGCAGCAAGACCCTGCACAGTGTCCAGCCTTGGAGTGATATGTGGCATGTAACATTCTTGCCTTACAAGTGCCACGACATAACCATCTCCAGCAAGAATGACAAATTATCTCACAATGATATTCTGTAGTACTACCGATGTCATGTCTCTCCTCCCTTTTCTCTTTCTCCCTTCTCGCTCTCTCTCTCTCGCGCGCGCGTTCTCTCTCCCTTTGCACTCTTTCTCACTGGAAGGTGAACTGGGCCAGCCATATATATGCTACCATCCACAAGGCCCAAATCAGGAGTGTGACAAAATACATTTTCCAAGATGAGTGCTGCTCCAACAGCATTCAAGAAACTCAACACTATCCAGGTCAAAGTATCCCACTTCATCAACTCCTCATCCACCATCTTAAGCATTTCTATTTCAGAAATGAGGAAGAGAGAAAATTGGGACTACAGACCTGTTAATATCAATCACAGAAAAAAATGATAGAATCTAAAACATTGGATGTGATAACAGGACACTTAGGAAATAATGATAGGATTGGATAGCGGCAACGTGAGTTTATAAAATGGAAATCATGTTTAACAAACCTGGAGTTTTTGAGGATGTAACTAACTGAATGGATAGCAGGAAGCCAGTAGATATGACATTTTTGAATTTTCAGAAAGCTTTTGATAATATTCCACACAGGAGGTTAATTAACAAAATCACATGGGATTGGAGTAATACACTGGCATGAATTGAGGATTTGTTAATGGGAAGAAAGCAGTAGGAATATATGAGTCATTTTCACGTTCACAGAATGTGGCTGGTGGAGTCCCTCAAAGAAGTACCCTGGGACCCCAGCTGTCCACAATTTATATTAATGATTTGAATATGGGGGCCATATGCAATATTTGTTGATGAGGCAAAACTGGGTGGAAGTGAGAGTTGTGACAAGAATGCAAAGCTATGTCGGAGGGATTTGGAGAGGTGAAGCGAGTGAGTCAGCTCACTTGGCTGGATGATTGGTGTGTGATGCAGAGTGACACCAACAGTGTAGGTTCAATTCCTGCCCCAGCTGTGGTTACCATGAAGGTCTCGCCTCCTCAACCTTGCCTCTTGCCTGAAGCATGGCAACCCTCCGGTTAAACCACCATCGGCTACCTCTGTAATGAGAGAGCAGCTTTATGGTCCTCTGGAGCTATGGTGACTTTTACTGGCATATTGTGTCCAGTTTTTCATCACCTTGTCTAAGGAAGCATTCACTTAGAGGGAGTGTGAAGGTTCACCAAAGTGATTCTTGCACTCAGAGGATCTTCCTATGAGGAAAGATTAAATATATTGAGCCTGCACACTCTGCTGTTTAGAACAGTGTGAAGTAATCTTGTTCAAACATTGTTCAAATATTAGAGATTGATAGGATAGGTGCAGGAAGGGAAACAGTCTCTGAAAAAAGGATAGGCCACTTCTGACAGAGGGTGAGGAATTTCCTTACTCAGACAGTGTTGAATCTTTGGAATTCTCTGCTCCAAAGGGCTGTGGAAGCTCAGGTGTTGAGTGTGTTCAAGACTGAAATTGGTAGATTTCTGCATATTAAAATCAACAGATACTGGCATGGTATAGGAGAGTAGTATTGAAGTAGAAGATGAACGACAATCTCATTAACTGACAGAATGGGATTGAAAGATTGAAAGACTCCTGCTCCTGATTTTTTATGTTCCAATGTTCACCCACTCCAATGCCAGCTTTACATTCCACTTCAAGTTTTACATCTTCGTAAGTATGACTCACTGTTCCAAGGGCTTTTGTGACACACTGGTAGAGCCCTATCTCTGAAAGAGGAGGCCTGGCTTCAGGACCCACCTTCTCCAGAGGTGTATTATAACATTTCTTTCGTAGTTAGGAAATATCTATATCACTCTTCCTTCATGGTTGCTGGATCAAAATCCTGGAGCTCCTTCCCAGGCAGCACTGTGGATATGCTTTCACCATTCAGACTTAAGCAATTCAGGAAGATCTTACCATCACTTGCTTGTGAGTGGAAAGGGATGGACGATTAATTTTGAAAAGAATGCTACTGGATTGTCAGAAGTGGCTTGGTAAACAATTTTAATCCTTTCATTGTTAAGAATGCTAGGAATTTCCATTCCATTAATGGGCTGTGCCTGTTTGATGTTAACCAATCTCTTCTCAAAGGAGCTTATGACAAGTGGTGCATCAAGGCCTCCACAATTTTAAATAAAAACAGACGTTGCTAGAAAAGTGCCGTAGGTCTGGCAGCATCTGTGAAGAGAAACCAGAGTTAACGTTTCGGGTCTGGTGATCCCTCCCCTCCCACAATTTTATTCTTGTGATTCTAAAGCAAATCAGTTTGATAGATACAAATATTACCCAAGCTTATACAATCTGATCAGTATGGTTAAATTAAAATACATGTAAGTTTCATTTACCCGCACAAGTGTATTTTTGTACATATGCTAATTCTCTTAAAAAAATATAGATCCCAGTTTAATTTGGGAGGAGGCTTTGTGCTGTGGACTTGGAGAAATTAGATACTGGATTGAGTCCATGCAGGTTTGTTTGTTTGTTTAAATAGGACCTTCGAGCTAGCTAGAGCAAAGAGTCTTTATTTCCATTCTTGTGCACTAGATTCAAGTATGGGCCTTGAAAGATGAAAGGGTAGTATGCTAATCCACCATAGCACTTTGTTTCATCACCCTCACCTGGCACCCTAGGGATTACTTTTCATCTTTTACCACTAACCTCATGTTTGTTCATGTCATCACCTGGTACTGTTCACAAATAAGCGTGGCTTTTCTTTGTTGTTCTTTTTTTCTAAAAATGTACTTTATTCATAAAATGTGTAAAGGTACGTAACTGTATAAAGTTGACATTACATAAAATGCATAATAAATCAGTTTCTTTAAGTATACTATGTGACACCTTGAGGTGCATTTCATCTACTGGTAAATTGTTAATGGATAGTCAAGCCACTTGCTCCAAAGCTTTCTCCAGCCAGCTTCTCCATGGCAGTCTGTGGATGTGTTGACCTGATGTGTCTCTTCTGCAACAGCCTAGTTGGAATTGAATGTTTGTCCTTTAAGAAGCGGTAGCTAGAAACCCATATTTCTCAAATTTCCGTCAGAAGACAGTTGCTGAAAAGTCCACACACACCTGCTTTCAGTTGCTTTGCACATTGTAGGGAAATTGTTTTCAGTTGAATCTGGCCCTTAGCTACTGTAAATCTACATTGTACATCTTGCACTGCATTAACTGCTGAGTGAGATGTGAATGTTAGTGCTCTACTGTGTATTAAGTTCCAGCACTGATTTGAGCATTTAAATCTAACAGAATTAGTAAAGAGCTGTCACCTTTTGACGTTGAGGTTCATATCCAGCAAAGACAACGTTTTTTTTGTCCATCTGAAGGAATTTAATTGGTGTTCAGATGTCCGATTAAAGGGGTGTGTTCTGCAAAGTGATCAGTTCGCATGACACAGACATCTGTAGCACAATCTTCCTCTAAGCTGAACAGTCATTTAACAACAGTATGGAATGGTAATGTTGCAAATGAGATTAACCTTTTCAAGACTGTTTTGAGATTAGTGTGTTGGTATACGTAGAGGTGTAGGTTAAGGCTGTGTGATTGATCTCGTCTTGCATCTGCCCCCTATACAACCAAGAAACATTTGAAGTAACTCAGCAGGTCTGAGTTTCTCCAGCAATTTCTGCTTTTGTTTCAGATTTCCAGCATCTGCAGTTCTTTGTTTTTCTTTAAACATTTGAAGTATCTCAATAAAGAAAAACCAATTCTTGAAACATACAACAAAATAAGCCTTCATGAAAGCTGGTGTTTACCTGCTTGCTACAGGGAGTGATGACTTTGGAAGAAAATAAAAATCATTATTTGAAATCATTTAAAGCAAACATTTATGCATCTGTTTGTTTAAAAACACATAGAACAAAAAGAAGAAGATTAAACAAAAGCCAGAAGTAAAAGCAGAACCAGAGCAACTGCAGTCTAGCAAATGTGCTGCCAATTCTGGTGAACTGTCGACAACTTCTTGGGAGAAGGACGAAGTAAACAGTTATCACATCAATGGATCTGTAAATGATGAATCAGTGGATTCTCTTAGTGAACAGTTAGATGCCCTTTCCGTGGATGCCCAAGAGCTGGAAGATTCTGAATTGATGACTCCTGATATCGATAGTATAATGGGTAAGTGTATCTAAATTTAGTTCCAATCGATTTTAAAAATCTTTGAATACTCATTTTCTATTTTTTAACATTTGCACATACTCTCCCAAATAATTGTAAAAATCTGGATTTGTGTTTAGGAATGGGATGACTTGGTCCTGTAATCCAGTCCAAAGTGGAAGATCTGTTCCATATTTTGTAAACTTGGCTACATACGACACTTAAATTTGTTAATCATAACACACACATTGTCTTCAGTACTTCAGTCATCTGAGCATCACAACTCAGAAAACAGCAATTTTATTAGTTCTCTGTGTTACATGGTAATAGTATGGTAACAGTTGGTTTGATTTCCATGGAGTTAATGCAGTGAAGAAACTTGGATAATAACAAATTACATCATAGGACCTCAAAGTAACTTGTGAATTTCATCTTGGTCTTTACATTTAGTGTATGCTATTATAGTTTAATTCCAAATGTTCTGCTATCAAAACATAATATTCTGGTACTAGCTTTGTGATTATTATTGATTTTCAAGTCCTCTATTATTAATTTTACTTGAATATTATACTAATTTAAAGCTCCTAATAGTCTCATGACAGAACAATATATAAATCAAAAATGGACATTTTTTGAATGCTTATGCACGTGCAATATAACGAGAACGAATGTTGTCAGTGAATTTAAAGTATTCATCAATCTTGAGGTCTTGCCAGCGTTTATAACTACTTGAATTTTGCTTGTTTTTTTTTCATAGCCCCTTGGATGAATTATCACCATATAACTCATTGCCAGCCATCTATTATCCAATTTGTTGCAGTATATTGTATGTTACAGCTAAATATTTTTGCCAATACTGTATATAAATGTAAGATGCCTGAATATGTTGTCTGCTTAGACTTCAGATTGTTGCCACATCAGAATTTTCTCCTTTTTCTATAAAGAACAAATGCTTATTAGTAAACCACAATTGTAAAGATTTGAGTTACTTTTGGGCTAAAATTCATTTTAGCTACTTATTTTAAAAGAAGTTTTCTGTGAATTGTTGATGGGCTACTTCAAGTCCTGATATTTGCTTAACCTGTAGCTGAAGTCATGAAGTTTTCCTTTTTGAATTTTCTGAGCTTTAGACCCAAATAAAATGCTGAGACAATATTGGACATCTGAACACCTCATGTTATCCTGAAACTAAAATTATTTGACTTCGGAAAATGCTGAGACGATATTGGACATCTGAACACCTCATGTTATCCTGAAACTAAAATTATTTGACTTGGGAAAATGTTGTGAGCGTTTACCGACAATATTCATTCTGACACTTAACCAATACTTTTTCAGAATCTGTAACAGAAGATGAAAAGTGTAAAGCAGAGTCAAAATTCCAACCCCGCCACTTCCATAGCTCTCATTCTACTAAAACATATCAACAAAAGAATACTGCAAAGTCTAGGTCACGAGCTCCTCCAGGATCACAAACCTCTACCTCCCTTTCCCTAGTCATGCCAGATGATGGTGGATTTATTTCATCTAAGAATAAAAAAATAGGTAAGGGGTATTTACAAAATGATTTCTGTATTTTAAAATACATTTTTTCCATGTTCAAGCATATAGACTGATTTGGGGGAAAGATATTTTACCCACCTCCACGCTCCAGTTTGATGTTGGGTGTGATATTACTTACATTAACTGTTGCCTGAGCAAAGTAGTGCAACAATACTAGGTAGTGAGATCATTTATCTAGAAATGCATACTATGTGGTACGTTTGCCCCAACCAGTCCATGTTGGTGTTTATGCTCCATTTGAGTTTCCTTCCATCTTTTCTCATTTAATACAATCATCATAGCTTTCGGTTCCTTTCTTGCTCATATGCTTAACTGACTTTCCCTGAAGCTTACCTGTGATATTTGCCTCAGCTACCTGCTGTGGTATTGAGTTTTTTTTTATTCTTGGGATTTGAACCCGGGTCCCCCAGAACATTACCTCGGTCTCTGGATTAATAGTTCACTAAAAATACCACTAGGTCATTGCCTCCCCTTCTTCCCACTTTCCAAGTGAAGAGGTTTCTTCTGAATTCCCTATTAGATTTCTTGGTGATTATTTTACGTTGATGGTCACTAGTTTTCCTCTTTCCCACAAGGAAACACTCTCTCTGTATCCATGTTTACATAATTTAAAAAAAAACTCTTAATAGGTCACCCATCAGCATTCTCTCTTCACGTTTTCATGAAGGGAGAAACCTTGCAGTTGTAGTACCATCCTTCTAAATCTAACTGCACCTGCTCCAGTTTAAAGTATAATTTCCTGGTCCCTTGCTCTTCGTCCATATTTTTCTCCATAGGGTAGAGGGTATTACTATTGACCTGGGAAACTGTGTATCATGTCTCATTGTCTGTCTGTAATTGGCCTGGAGAGGGCGGTGATGAGCTGCCACATTGAACCATTGCAATCCTTGAGGGTATAGGTATCCCACGGTGTTACCAAGAAGGGAGTTCCAGAATTTTGGTCCAGCAACAGTGAAGGAATGGTATTGTAGTTGTAAGTCAGGATGGTGTGTGGCTCAGAGGGGAACCTGCAGGTGGTGGTGTCCCCATTTATCTGCAGTCTGTGTCCTTTGTGGTATTGATCACATGTTGGAAGGTGCAATCGGAGGAGCCTTGAAGAGTTAATGGTCTTCAGTTAAATTGGTATGTATTAAAACTACCCAGGATGTGCGGCTCACAAACATATAAGTCATATCTGCTTAAGGGAAGGTATTTTATTGTTTAGTCTAATTTCAGATACACTCCCAGGTCTCTGCACATGGATTGAATAGGTTAAATATGGTCAAGAGAAGTTTGTATTTAATCAAGAGACTGTCTTAGTAATATTTGAACCTCAAGTATCTGATTGGGAATCTGCAAGTCAGAATCTAAATTCACATAAATTGAGTGTGCTGCAAGTTATGATTCCCCAGTTAAAATTGTGCGCTGTGGTTAACTGTCTAGTCATGTGTTAAATGCAAAACTCTTAAGTTTTCAGAGACAATGTGGAAAAGTTAAATGTTTCACATGTTTGGCTGTTTCAACTGTGACATTACCTTGTGAAAACCTTGCCTCAATTGTATAGTTGTATATGCCACATTGAGAGTACTGATTACAATTTTAGTCTCACTATTTAAGAAATAATGTAATTGCATTGGAAGAAGTGCAAAGAAGGCTCCTTTGACTGGTTTCTGAGACTGAGATTTCCTCATGCGACATGGTTCAACATGTATCCATTAGAATTTGGAAGATTAAGTGTTGATTTTATTGAAATATATAAGACCCTGAAGGGACTTGACAAGGTGGATATAGGGAGACTGTTTCTTCTTGAGGAGAGACTAAAACTAGCAAACATAGTTTAAGAATGAGGGGTCTCCCTTCTAAGAGGTGAGAATTTTATTTTTCATTTTAGATGTTTCTCCTTAAGGGCGGACTAGATCTGAGGAACACAGTTTTAAAAATATGGGATAATGCCTTTTAGGTAGTGATGAGAATTTTCTTTCTCTGAGGGTTGTTGGTCTGTCGAATTCTTCCCCAGAGAGCAGTGGAGGCTGGGCTCATTGAATATTTTTAAGGCTGAGGTAGATAGATTCTGAGTCACCAGAAAGTTGAAGGCTGTCAGGATAGACAGGAGAGTGGAGTTGAGACCACAATCAGATCAGCTATGATGCTATCAAATTCAAATGGAAGAGCAGGCTCAAAGGGTTAAGTGCTCTTAATTTGTACACAGGTATGTTCGTGATGTGCAAGAAATGGGTTAATCAACGAACTAAAAGTCTGCCAAGATCAAGTGTCTTACTGACATGCACATGACCTATTGCGTCAAAATGTGTAACTAATTGCTCAAGAAATTTAAGCTGCCTTCTAGCTTCATATACTTTGTAATGCCTGAAAAAAACATCGTAACTAAGATCCCCTATGGATACTAACTTGATCATGATGGTATCTGGGTGTATTTTGATACCATGCACTTTTCAGTTTTCAAAACACGATTTATTTGTGAATTGAATAGTTGTAAAGATTTGTCATCTCACAACAGCACACCATTTTTTGAGAATTCTACCCACAGAGTTTACATAGTTTTAATTTTATTTGTTCTAATTCTAAGAAAATGATTTTGCTGTAAATATCTATATGAGGTTTTCTTTAACTTAACCAGAATCTGTTCTGGGTTTAGTCTCCTTAAATGTTGGCAAATAGATCCCACCTGAAGTTGACGTTTGGTTGACATTGTGTAGCGTTCCTAACTCTGAAGAACTGTGCATGCTGTACAGGTTTCGTAGGGTGTGAAATTGCAGGACTTGCTTTTTAAAATCACTGGACCAGTAAGCTGCCAAGTAAAATTATTCAACTACTGTTATTACTGTTATGTGAGATCGTGGCTTAAGTGATGTGCTGGCAAAACATGCCTGTATGGATCCTATTTCTGTCATATACCCTAATTATACCTGAGGATTTTCATCATAGCCTAACTGCCACCTCCAGAGTTTTTCTGTCATAGAGAACTAAACAGTTCTGTAAAAAGACACGAACAAAAACTTCAATATCATAGGAAATAAAACAGTGAAGTTGTGATGAGTCAAATCTGGATAACCCAAAACTTTGGTTGTGTCAAAGTTGTCAACCATTCCCGACAGCAGAATAGGAAATCCAACAGAAAGATGCCCATGGTAGGAGAAGAACAAATTGGTAACTCTGGATAAGCCAAACTCTCTCAAGCCTGTCATGTGAATATGTGAAGCACGTGGCGTGGAGTTGGACCTTGCTGCAGCACTAAATCATGGGCAAGCCATCAGTCAACATCGGGATTTCTCTGTGAAACGATGATAAAGTTGAAGAAAACGTGCATTCAATACCATAAATAGGAAATTGTGAAGCAAAAAGTGGTCATCACAGAAGAGTCGAAGGTTCCACCATTGAATTTGTTAACCATTCTGAAGCACGAGGTGGAGATCTCAACAGCTTGACAAGCAGGCATCCTCTCCTGCAGGGAAGCGGATGGAAAATGGCCGTCTATCCCAATGTTGAAGAAGCTTTGCTATTGTCATTTAAAGCATTTGAGTAGTGAATGTTCTCATAGAGTCATACAGCGCGGAAACAGGCCCTTCGGTCCAACCAGTCCATGCAGAACATAATTGCAAACTAAACTAGTTCCACCTGCTTGCTCCTGGCCCATACCCCTACAAATCTTTCCTATTCATGTACCTATCCAAATGTATTTTTAAACGCTGCAATTGCACCCACATCCACCACTTCTTCAGGAAGTTCATTCCACACGTGAACCACCCTCTGTGTTAAAAAAAAAGTTGCCCCTCATGCCTTTTTTAAATCTCTCTCCTCTCGCCTTAGGAATGTGCCCCCAGTCTTGAAATCCCCCATTCTAGGGAAAAGACGCCTACAATTAACCCTATCTATACCCCTCATTATTGTATAAACCTATATAAAGTCACCTCTCAACCTCCTACACTCCAGTGAAAAATGTCCCAGCCTATCCAGCCTTTCTTTATAACTCAAACCTTCCATACCCGGCAACATCCTGGTAAAACTCTTCTGAACCCTCTCCAGCTTAATAAAAACCGTCCTATCACTGGGTGACTAGAACTGGACACAGTATTCCAGAAGGGGCCTCACCAATGTCCTGTACAACCTCAACATGACTTCCCAACTCCTGTACTCAAAGGACTCAGCAACGAAGGGAAGTGTGCCAAATACCTTTTTAACCATCCTGTCTATATGTGATGCAAACTTCAAGGAATTATGTACCTGCACCCCTTGGTCCCTCTGTTCTGCACCACTACCCAAGGCCATTCCATTAATTGTGTAAGCCCTACCCTTGTTTCTTGTACCAAAATGCAATACCTCTCATATATCCAGACTGAAGTCCTCTCCAACTCAATCCTGGAAAGAGGCTGGGCTACAAGGAGCTCCACTGCAACAATGGATTGCTGGACTGATTTGAAGACAAGACACAACAGGAACAACGAGGGTGCTGCAGTTCTCCTTTAGGTAGTCCCTTGAGTATGAAAATGACTTTCTCCCTCTCCAGAGTTGTGTTTCCTGAAGTGACTAGACCTTGGGATCTTTGTTGGATCTGTACACACCCCCAAAGATGGAGCAGAACGTGTTTGAAGAGGCGGGTGGTGTGTTTGCACTTGGCCTTTATTTGGGCCTGGCAGAGATGCATGAAATGATTGCCATCTTTGCAGCTGCTTCTGCAGTTTGGGAAATCCAGGCAAGAGATTCCTTCAAGTCAGTGGGGATGTTACTTTTTTTTTCAGGAAGTCTTTGGGGATGTCCTTGAAATGTTTCTCTGCCCTTCTGGTAACTACTTACTGTGACTAGGCTCAGTAGAGAACTTGTTTTAGGAATAATGTCTCGGGCATGTGAACAATGTGGCCTGCTCATCAAAGCTGATTGACAGTGCCTCAAAGCTGATGTTGGTTTGTGAGAAAATACTTTTGGAGTGCCTATCCTGCCAATAGATTTGCAGGATTTTGTGGTTGCTTCACTGGTGATAGTTCTCTGGGGATTTGAGATGTCATTTATTCATGCCAAAAGTGCTTCTCAGCCACATTGTGGTATTTCAGCAGGGGTTCCACTTCCACTGGAGGTCCTGTTGGTTCTCAGCTGAAACCATTTTCAACCTCATTGTGCTGCGCTGGTGGCAGGTAACATGATGGATGTGCGTGAACCCCGTGTTGACAAATTCTCAAAGACTTTTTCACAGGGTCGATAAAATGTCATGTATAGCGTGAGGATGCTATTCCTTGCACTTCTTGAATTTGTTGCACCAATGAAGATCACATCTGTGGTGTTTCTTAACAGGTGAAAATTGTTTTGCAACCCTAAAAGCAGTTCTTTGGTCACTGGGAGACTGTGGTTTAGGTTTAGGGGGTTCCATGCCATGATCTTACTTGGGGTGGAGACCAGGAAGACTTCCGTTTAGTTCCCTACAGTTCAACTTGATACCGTATTCAAGAAGGGAGACAATCACTGTGTCCCCGAGGTCCTCTGGTATGTACTCTTCCTCTCAGCTGCATCCCTGAAGAGTTCAAACATCCCCGTTAATTCATGGGTAAACCTAGCTTGTGACTGACCAAAATAGGGAAGGCTTTTTTAGGAAGGCACTAAACCCACCAAAAGACTTCAGGAACATTTCGGATGTGAAGTCGAGGGTCAGAGAGAGCACACTAGCATTCAAACAACCCAACTTCAA